AAATGAGGGATGGGGAGGATGGGACTAGGAAGGGGGGAGGATTGATGGGTAATTAGGTTCGGGCGGAGTGAGAAGACCAAAAGGTCCAATTCCACAGACCAAAAACCTCTTTACCACGAAAATGAACCCCCCCCTTAAAGGGACAGGGACCTAAGAATGTGATATACCGTGGCATACGAGAAGTGCACGTTCATTAAAAGTCCCATTTGGGAAAGGATCCAATGAATATAATATATAGCCCGAGATGGGGCGAAAAACGGTCAACAGAAAAACAGGGAAAAAACTGGGAGAGCAACATCTGAAGCTGCTCCCCCTCTCCCGATTATCAGAGGCGTCGAATATTCCATTGTAAATAAGCTGTTAGAGTCAGTCAAGTCGACATGCATAGGTATTGCAAAACTAGTAAGGAGTGAAGTATTGCAATGATGTGAAGGAAAACAGTGTGAAGAAGGGCGTGGAGGACGAGAATTTAAGTGCCGGGGGAGGGGGATGATCAGTGTTCATCAAAGGTGTTCTCGATAAACGCCGAGATGGTCTCAATAGTTTCTGACGAGAGAGAAGTCAGAGAGTTTGGCAGCAGAGGGAGATGTAGTTTGGGTAAAAAGTGGAGAGAATAGAAGACACCAAAGAAGGGGCAGAGGTGCCTTGACAAGAACAAACTTCAGGAAGCACAGGTGAGGGTGGATAAACTTCCAAAACAGTATTAGATGCATCCCAAGGTAAAGGTCGAGACTTAGATAGGGTGTGAAGAACGTTTGGGGATGTCATGTGGATTGGGGGATGAAGATTTGGACTCAAATGAGGATATAGACCATAGAGGGGAATGTATATATGGAATCGATTTAGACTGGCAGGAGCGTGTAGAGGTTCAAACATGTGACTGGGAAGGTGAAGAGGTAGAGACAGTAAGAGATGAGGTTAGAACCTCAGAGCCCAGGACAGTAAAAGGGGTTGGATACAGAGGTGACCGTGGAAGGGACACAGAAGTAATTGTGGCAGCAGGCACTATGAGGTCTTGGGTCGTCTAGCGACCCCAGAATATGAGCTGTGGGAGTCTCCCATGGAGGCAGAGATGAGAGACTCCTATGGTATCAGAGAAGCCCTCTTTCTCTTTAAGACAACGGATCTCCTTTCCCTTAGAAAATCGGGTATTGTCGAGAATTGACAAGGTGCCTTTCTTTGCAGTTAAGGCAAGAGGGAAGGAGGCTGCAAGAGGGATTGGTATGGACAGCTGCACCACAGACCAGGAATTCTGCCACTGACTTGCAATATTTTGCTGGGTGGTCGAAGTGCCAGCAATTTCTAGATTATTGCTTGGTAAGGATCACCTCCGGCACTTGTAGGTATTGTCCCGTTATGTATACAAATGGTGGCAGTTCAAGACTGTCAAAAGTTAGTCTCACTATATTGCATGGATAGCGCCTCTGCCCACGGACGGAGTATGAGTCAATTTTAATGATCGGGAGATTCTGGAGTTCGAGTTGCTCTAGAATGTCATCATTACACGCGAAAAAAACGCGTTGTGCAATCGTATGTGGAAAGACGTAAGATCCACAGCAAGAATTAAGGAAGATATGTTTGCGAATTATTACTGGCGTGTTGTCACCATCAAGAACTGAAAGATTATGGGCTTGATCTGCAGTTTTATCTGTTACAATACGTGTGCCACTCTTAAGAACATGTTAGGAAATGTTCTTCCCAACATGGTGAAGGAGAACCTTACTGATGCTTTGGTCAGAATGATAGTTAGTAGGAGAAGATGGCTGAAACGTAAAGAATTTCGTCCAAGGACTTTGAAACAGAGTATAAGGGAAGGAATTATTCAGACTTTTTTTTTTTTTTTTTTTTTTTTTTTTTAAGCATGAAACGGAGCTGAAGTATGGTAATCGGTGACAGCTCGAGGTCGTATAGATAAAAGGTTAGAGGCTGGCCGTCCTGAGTAATGTGTGCAATTCAAAAATATACGCAGTGTATGTGGGGTGCACGAAGGTCAGAGGTGTCCAGAGGGTCGGTAGAAACCGCGGGTACCAGAGGTGGGTAATGGAAGGCTACCCGAAGCAAGCTACCGGGTTGGAAAAGAGGTCCGAAGGCGTGCCAGGGTCTCTAAAGAGTGATACAGAAAAGGACCAAAAGAAAAAAAACGGGGGGGGGGCGTGGAAGGGTCATATGTTCCCCTCATATGTGCCATATATGTACCTTTCATGCAGCATGGAACCTGTACCATAGCCTACCTATCATGCCAGTTAACCGGCAATCCAGGATAGCAACCTCATATCCACAAAGGCACCTCGATGGACAAAAGAAAGGGCTGTTAGGAAACTCGCCACAAGGCATACCACCTTCTGCCACCACCTCCGTCACCCGAAAGACATAACCCGACTCTTGGGATACCGGAGAGGGATTGAGGCATCCCCAGACGATCCAGATTTTCACGGCAAACTACACCATCACCAGGACCTCAACAGAATGGGATGGACATCGATACCCTTTCCCAAACTTAGGAGTTAGAATACCTGAGGGGAGGATCACAAAGGCCAAAAGCAGGAAGGGGAAGACTGGGGGGAAGGGGTCTAATTAGATTTGGTCGAAGGAAGAAGACCGAAAGATCCAATTCCTCAGACCGAAAGCCTCTATACCACAAGGAGGAGCCCCCATTAAAGAGGAATCGAAATTAAGCATTTTTTTTCTTACAATATTTTAAAAAAATGTATATAATGTATTTACATGCAAGTTCAGCTAGGAAAGACTCCAATTTTTTGGAGGATTCTTAGCAACATTTTTTTTTAATTTCTCACAAATTTCAGTTCATTACTAAAAATGCCTTATTTGATTGGCTTCATATTTGAACATTGGTGTAATGTATCTTGGGCAAGATACGTGTGACTGTTTGCATATATGGGGGCTGAGAAAGGCTCCTCTGATCGGCTTCAATTTTGCGGACCCCTTTATGGTACTTAGAAGGATGATATATTTAAGAGAGTATGTGGATGTCATTTTGTTACTGTTAATCTCGAAATGGTAAAGCATTATTTTACATTATCCCATTATTATTTTGCATTGATGTTGGTGAGGGGCTCTTGATCCAAGACAAGGGCTTTTTCTTCCTTTCCCTGAATATGTTCCATTTTATAGGTGCTATATAACCCCTTCAGGTTAAATTTAGCTTTCTTCACTGGTTGATGTATCTTATAAACTGGACGTTACGTTCACGGCCTAAGGCTGTGTAGGCACAAATTTTGTTGGATTTTGTGAAATAACTGGGAAAAATTTAAACTTCTGTTCTGTGTTAATAACTAGTGTTGTTCTGTTAGTTATAAGTTGTTACTTTTATTAATCAAACTAGTTTCTGTGAAAAATTTGAAATATTTTTTCTGGTCAGAAATAAGTAATAATGTTTGACTATTTAGTTATGTAGGTTTAATCAGTATAAAATACTTTAATTTCCCTTAACATTTATGTGACCCCAACACCATAGTTTTAACATTATAAATTATGTACATAAGAATTACATTAAAGGTAGTAGGTTGGGAGACAGCAACCACCCAGGGAGGTCTACCGTCCTGTGGTATAGGTTGGTAGACAGCAACCACCCAGGGAGGTACTACCCTCCTGTGGTAGTTTGGTTGGTAGACCCGCAACCACCCAGGGGGGTACTACCGTCCTGTGGTAGTAGGTTGGTAGACAGCAACCACCCAGGGGGGTACTACCCTCCTGTGGTAGTTTGGTTGGTAGACAGCAAAACCCCCCAGGGAGGTACTACCCTCCGTTTTGGGAGTAGGTTGGTAAAACAGCAACCACCCAGGGAGTACTACCGTCCTGTGGTAGTAGGTTGGTAGACAGCAACCACCCAGGGAGGTACTACCGTCCTGTGGTAGTAGGTTGGTAGACAGCAACCACCCAGGAGGTACTACCGTCCTGCCAAGTGAGTGTAAAACGAAAGCCTGTAATTGTTTTACATGATGGTAGGATTGCTGGTGTCTTTTGTCTGTCTCATAAATATGCAAGATTACAGGTACGTCTTGCTACTTCTACTTACACTTAGGTCACACTACACATACATGTACAAGCATATATATACACACACCCCTTTGGGTTTTCTGGCATTTTCTTTCTAGTTCTTGTTCTTGTTTATTTCCTGTTATCTCCATGGGAAAGTGGAACAGAATTCTTCCTCCGTAAGCCATGCGTGTTGTAAGAGGCGACTAAAATGCCAGGAGTATGGGGCTAGTAACCCTTCTCCTGTATATATTACTAAATGTACAATGAGAAACTTTAGTTTCTCCTTTTGGGCCACCCCGCCTCGGTGGGATACGGCCGGTGTGTTGAAAGAAAGAAGAATTACATAAAACAAACTTGTTTGCTCACTGTCTTATATGTTGGTCAGTCTTACAGAAAAGTTATTTATTTATTTTGGCCTGAGTAGATCATATTCCCCCCCCCCCTTTTTTTTTTTGAAGAAAATAGATTATTATTACGAAGGGGGAGCGCTAAACCAACAGGATTATGCAACGTGTGTGGGGGAATGTGGAAGGTATTCAGGCTTAATTCAGGGAACTGGAGCACAGATCCAATTCCTTAGATCAAGAGCCCCTCACCAACGTCAACGAACCTTCCTCAAGGGGTCAAGAAGAAATCAGAACTAATTAAATTCTGCATTAAATGATTAACTCCAAGTCTCCCATGATGGTTACATGATAATGAAACTTGGATACTGATTTATATGATGATTTGTGAATGACTTTTCTGATTCCCCTAAGATCTTTAACGCTAATTTTTAAGTGAATTATCAACTTGTGCCACACACTGCACTCTTCCAGTTGCGTCCATTGAGGAGCTGAGGACTGGCGTTATGAATACCGGAATACCGTCTTCGGATCGAGAAGGAAGGTTTATTCACAAGACTGACTGTTGTTTACCTCTGACATAAACATTGATGGCAGCTCTTGTTTTATGACCCTCATCTCAATACTACTGGTTATTATGATGATATTGTCTTCCAACTAATGCTTCTTACGCACCTAGTAAAACATTGTTTTAACAAAGACATCAACAGATACTTTTCATAATTACGAACTCCTACAATTAATTTTAATCAGTGAAGTTGTTGACAGTCTGAATCTGAACACTAAGAAATAAGCAAGCCTCTAGTGAAAACCTGGCCCAGTCAGGTTTGTGGGGTTCAACCTAACCTACTGTTTCCCATACACTCTCAGACACATCTTGTAGCATTTTGAAGGCACATCTTCACACTAGACAACTTCTAGAGCAAGAAAACTGCTAGACTCAGGGGACACAAGCAGTTTATAAGACTTCTGAAGATACAGCCTCACTAGTACTGTATGGATGATACTGTTGTGAAGAATGACATTACAGATAGCATCGGTGGCATTAACGTAGTGTGAACCTTGGCATTTCAATTAGCATGGGTAGCACTAGTAACTTTATTGTCTACAATAAGTATCTAGGTATCTTTATTGTCTACAATAAAGATAATGAGTGCTGCACCTGTGATATTCATCCAAGGTATAGAAATTTTAAATAAAAGAAGAAACTACAAAGATCTGCTCACATTACTTCTAATTTTTAAGTGGTGGTTAGGCTTACCTCTGGTGCTAAATATTCCGGTGTTCCACAGAAGGTGTGGGTGGTTCTTCCATAACAGATGTTTTCTTTGCAGAGCCCAAAGTCTGTTATTTTTATGTGACCTTCAGCATCAAGTAGTATGTTTTCCAACTGCAACCAAATAAATGTATCAGTGCATATTCTGAACATGAGATAAAATTTACTAAATAAAATCAAACTACAAATCTTGCATTACTCCCATCACTTTAGTTACTTTCTATGACTTGCATTACTTCGGAGGGTAGGACTGCCATCCCCTTCCTATGAAAGTGTAAAAGAATTACACGGGAAAGAAATATTAAGGAGAGAGTTCCAAAAATATGCACATGTGTAGTGCATACTGGATGTTAGAGTAGCAGCAAGATTGACCTGTCATCTTGTGTTTACGAGACAAAAAGAAGAGAACCAGCAATACCTGGAGTGTGCCTGGAGAGGGTTTTGGGGGTCAATGCCCCCGCGGCCCTGTCTGTGACCAGGCCTAGTGGTGGATCAGGGCCTGATCAACTATTCTCTTACTGCTGGTCGCACGCAAACCGACGTACAAACTACAGCCCGGTTGATCAGGTTCCTGTCCAGTGCCTTCTTGAAGATAGCTAAGGGTGTATTGGTAATCCTCCTTATGTATGCTGGGAGGCAGTTGAACAGTCTTGGCCCCTGACGCTTATTTTATCTCTTAGTGTACACGTGGTGCCCCTGCTTTTCATTGGGGAGATGTTGCATCTCCTGCCGAGTCTTTTGCTTTGGTAGAGTGATTTTCTTTTGCAAAATTTGGTACTAATCCCTCTAGGATTTTCCAGGTGTACATTATCATGTATCTTTCTCACCTGTGTTCCAGGAAATTCAAGTCAAGGAACTTCAACTATTCACTTATCGCACTTACGTGTGCCATGAAAGTTATCTGTACATTCTCCAGGTCAGCAATTTCGCCTTCCTTGAAAGGAACCATTAGTGTACAGCAATATTCTAGCCTAGAGAAAACAAACGATTTGAAGAGAATCATGGGCTTGGCGTCCCTCGTCTCGAAGGTTTTCATTATCCATCCTATCATTTTTCTAGCAAATGTAGTCAATACATTTTTGTGATTTTTGAAAGTGAGATTCTCTGCCAGAATGATAAAACAATTAACAAATTTGTTTCACATTTGTGGCAGGATGGCAGTACATCACTGGAGATGACTGGAGACAGTTACTGTCTCCCAACCCGCTATAAGTTAGATCCGAGTAAGTAGAGTTAGTGGAATTTATGGCTTGACATGCTATTGAAGTGTGAGCTAAGTGACATTTATAAAGTGACTGAGGGAAATCCAAATAGCAAAACTTCAGTCCTGGAACCTCAGAAGGCGAGAAAAAAAAATCTAGCAATCCCGTCAGACCCATTACAAAAGATACTAGCATCGCCCAACTCAAACTAGCAAGTGTTCTCGTGAACCATACATCAAACATTCTAGGGTTAACTAGTTCAGCACACCTGAAGCCTTCCAATTAAGGAGCTTGACGATAGTGATAAAAAGCTCGCAAGCTCCAACGTAACTTTCCCTATTCACCAGTGTGCTAGTGGACCAAGTCGTCAACCTGTTACTCAGAATGATGAGTGGAGATACAGCCTGGCCAGTTCCTACCAGAGATCTGTAGACCTAATCAAGCTTTTTATTCATCTCAAAAGGGAATAAATACAGTTATTCGGGTTAGCTAAGAGCTCTCCCCTCAGCGTAGTTCTCGCAAGCTTGTACATGGAGGTCATGGAATCCAACCACAACTTGGCTAGAATCCCCAGTTAAAAGATCTCAGTGTGCACAACAACAGTCTAGAACCAACTATTAAATCTCACTAAAAGAAGACAACCAATTTTTTTTTCTAGATATACTACTATGCATTTTTACAGCCACCTTACGTCCAGACAGAGAGGGGAAGTAATAGGCATCTTTCTAGTAGTCAGTCCGCAGCTCTTAGGAGGAGTGTGTGTACAAGTACATCTTCAGTGATTTTAGATCACTACAGTTCCACCTACACTATACAAAATTTCAGGAATATATTTTGCAGAACAATCAACAAGACAACAGAGGAAGTCATTAGTTACAATGTTTTGCCAAAATAGCCACCAGCTCTTCATCTTCAATCAATAACTTGGAGTAGAAACACAGGAGAACCTACGAAATGCGCAGAAGTATGCATTATACAGTGTGGATAACGAGATAGAAAGTGGTGGGAGAAAATGCAAAATCATTAGGTGTTAGTTCCTGAGCACAAATACCTACAACAATGTATTTGCTCATGAGAATATATGTGGACACTTAATGAAGCTTAAGGAGGCACGATTAGTCATCCACAAAAAAAGGGTTAGACTCAGAAGTGTCCCTGTTCGCAGACGATGTGAAGTTAATGAGGAGAATTAAATCTGATGAGGACCAGGCAGGACTTCAAGAGACCTGGACAGACTGGACACCTGGTCCAGCAACTGGCTTCTCGAATTTAACCCCGCCAAATGCAAAGTCATGAAGATAGGGGAAGGGCACAGAAGACACAGACAGAGTATAGGCTAGATGGCCAAAGACTGCAAACCTCGCTCAAGGAGAAAGATCTTGGGGTGAGTATAACACTGAACACGTCTCCGGAAGCACACATCAACCAGATAACTGCTGCAGCATATGGGCGCTGGCAAACCTGAGAACAGCGTTCCGATACCTTAGTAAGGAATCGTTCAAGACACTGTACACCATGTACGTCAGGCCCATACTGTAGTATGCAGCACCTGTTTGGAACCCTCACTTGCTCAAGCACGTCAAGAAATTAGAGAAAGTGCAAAGGTTTGGGACAAGGTTAGTTCCAGAGTTAAGTGGAATGTCCTATGAAGAAAGGTTAAGGGAAATCGGCCTGACGACACTGGAGGACAGGAAGGTCAGGGGAGACATGAAAACGACATATAAAATACTGCGCAGAATAGACAAGGTGGACAAAGACAGGATGTTCCAGGGAGGGGACACAAACAAGAGGTCACAATTGGAAGTTGAAGACTCAGATGAGTCAAAGGGATGTTAGGAAGTATTTCTTCAGAGTTTGTCAGCAGTGGAATAGCCTAGAAAGTGATGTAATGGAGGCGGGAACCATAACATAATTTTAAGACGAGGTTTGATAAAGCTCATGGAGCAGGGAGAGAGAGGACCCAGTAACAACCGGTTGAAGAGGCGGGGGCCAGGAGCTAAGACTCGACCCCTGCAACCACAAATAGGGGAGTACAAATAGGCGAGTACAAAAACGAGAGGCAGAAGTTGCTGGAAGTTGCTTTAATTGCCACAACCTACAATTCAGCAGAGGTCTGGGAAATTCAGTGTTAAATGCTTTTAGCTAAAACATTATTACCTGCTAGGATCCACCATGACGTGAATGAACAACTTACATGGAGTTGCTATGCAGCAGAGATACTGGCCCATGCTACCTCATTTCACTATTTGTCTGATGAAGCCGCTCATGGCAACTATACTTTAAGAAATGTATTTTACCGCATCGAAGTGTTACTTTCCATGCTGAATCATGGAGGTGGGTAGTACAGTGCCTACTAGGGGTTATAACTTTTTTAAAACTTAATATTCCTGTACCTTAATCGGATGAACTTTTGCCTAAATGCAAAGAAATGACCTTTCATTTCAATATCTTTTTAGAAAATATCGCCCCTATATATATATATATATATAAAAAAACGAATAACGAAAACAAGTAACTTGAATGAACTTGAATGAAAAACAATTACAGAAACGTGTAATTGTTCATGATGGTAGGGTTGCTGGTGTCTTTTTTTTTTTTGCCTCAAATATGCAAGATATCAGGTACATCTTGCTACTTCTACTTACTGTTAGGTCACGCCACACATGCATGTACACACAAATATATACATACACACCCATCTGTGTTTTCTATTTTCTTAATAGTTCTTGTTTTTCTTTATTTCCTCTTACCTCCATGGGAAAGTGGAAAAAAATTCTTCCTCCGTAAGCCATGCGTGTTTATAAGAGGCGCCTAAAATCACGGGAGCTTGGCTAGTAACCCACTTCTGAATAAATTTTTAAAAATTAAAAATTAAAAAATTTTTTTTAGATAGCCTCGGTGGACAAGGCCGGCGTGTTGATAAAAACAGCTCGCAATTCTATTATTCTTCAGCAGCGGCTCCCTCGAGAAATTCACAAGGCTCTCACACCAGACTACCGATACAAACAGTTACGATGAAGTTATGATAAAATTTATAGCAATGAATGTTTAGTATGATAGCTTTAGGAAAGAGATGTGCTTTTAACCGAGATTTAAAATCATGAATATTTTTTGGCCTCAACATATTTTCAACCTGTTGAACAATCTAGGAGCCACGTAAGAAAAGGCTCTTTCTGCAAGTAATTTCTCCCCATCACACTTAAAAGGTTCACAGCCATTCCCGAAACATTTCGGAGCTTCATGTAAAAAAATGGATAACAAGATATGTGGGTTCATTAAATTTAATTGGTTTAATATAATAAACAATTTTTAAATTCATTTCAGTTGAAGGGAGTCAATGATGCTGATGCAAGTATGGACTAATGGGAACCCAAATTGGGAGTGAAGATACAAGTCTTGCAGTAAGAGTCAGTACAGACATAAGTTTATAACAAGTAGTTAGGCAACCCCACAAACTACAAAAATCAATTAGAGATAAAAAAAAAAACGAGTGAATAAGGACCAAGATACATTGCTTATCAAGACATTTTTTTGACTGCAGAGATATTATGAATATGAAAATTAAGAGATTAACAATTTCTCTGACGTGCCCAACAAATAACTAATAATCTAGGTAGACACAATCTCTCACTGACATCAAAATCATCAATCTGCACCTCCCTGTGGTTACCTGTGTCAATCAAAATCTTTTTCATCCTAACTCTGCTTTAATATTCAATGTCATCCAAGTCCGAATATGCAGCAAAGCCGGGTTTTTGAATCTCCCACATTCAGAACTTTGATGCAGATTTTTATATCAACATAAAAATGATAATCCACCACATGGACGTTCAACAGTAAGGTTAAGCCACAAACACCAGATAAACAATACCAATCTAAGAACAGAGCAAAACAGACAGCTATGATATAGAACTTTTGAGTACTATGTATTTGATGTGACCGACCGGAATGGAAACTTCAGAAGCGACATTGCATTATCCCTAATGCACCAGCCCAAAAGATCAGTAATTCATTATCAGGGGTCCAACAAAATTAGAAACATTCCCTAAAACAAGCTATTCAGTACCATATTATAAACTTTTCACAGTGATGTATCAGTTGAAAGAAATAGTTTGAATACACTCCACTCCAGAAAAGGAAACAACTGATTTAAATTGGCATATTAAGTTTAGAAAGATACACAATCTTAGAAGCATGACGATAGTTTGAAATGATTTCTGAATGAAGTGAAGGTTTCTGGAGGAGTTGGGCGAATCTAAGCCTTTATTGATGGTCTAAACCATCATCACATTAGAAAACAATGATTAATCAAAACTGAGACACATGTGCAACATCTGGGTATCTTTATTGTTGACGTTTCGCCATCCAGTGGCTTTATCAATATAGATTCCAGGACATAATTTGAAGACAGTAGAACTATATACATAAGATGAGGTAATCAGTCCCTCAGCCTTGGAGATGGTGTGAAGAGCACCATAGTCGTGAAGATTCTAGAGCAGAGGCAAGGAGGCTGGTGCTTATATACTTACGCCTGGTGGATTGGGACGGGTAACAGACGTGGGCATAGTCACTAGCAGGCGGGATTCCAAGTGGAAATAGGTCATATCCAAAAGGATGGGGAAGTTTTTAGTAGTAGTTGCAGTAGCCGTGAAGGTCGTGTAGATGTCTTGAACCAAGATTCCATGATATTGCGGTGTCTGATAAGTTGTACCTGGCGTTAGTATATATGAGCGCCAGTCTCCTTGCCTCTGCTCCAGAATCTACACGACTATGGTGCTCTGATCACTAACTCCCAGACTGAGGGACTGTATTGTATACCATTCTTGTACAATGATTAATCAAAACAGTATTGTTGTTGTAGCACTTTCATTTGCGGGCAAGAGCATTGGAAAATCTACATATCTACATAACCAAAAGTTTTTTTTTTTTTCTTTTTTTTTTTTTTTTTTTTTTTACATTAGGATTTAATAAGAAAAACCAAATTCACCAAGGAACAAGGAACCTGTGGCACTGGTACCTGGATGATAAATCATCATCAGCCTCACAATCCACCGATGATAATTTGCTAAATCTTCTATTACTTCAGTTGACGTAACTGGCCGACCAGCAGTGTCAACAAACGAATAAATTACCAACTCCTGCACTCACAAGCAGCAGCTGACTTCTGCGGCTCAGCCGAAACTACTTGTTATATCAGATTTCAACAGCCATGTTTCTATTAGACAAAATATAAGGAGAAAATTCGTTCAGAACTTCAGCAACATGCATGATTTTATTTCATATTGAATGGATATTCAACAATCCAACTTCACAAATTTATGAGGAACCTCATGACCTTAGATGTTTTTCACACTAAAATTTGTATTCTACATTAATTTACATTTTCCATTAATCTGCGGCGCTGCAACACCATGAAACAAAGTGATGATCTGCACTCCGATGACTATCACAGGAAGAATAACTGATGCAACAGCGAGATTTGTCACAAAATCTAGGCTTAGGATCATCAGCACAAAATCTAGGCTCAGGATAACCAGTACAAAAATGGTAATGTAACACTGGGTCACCCTAAACATGCCCTGAATTTTGCACATTGTGATGCCAACTATACAGAACTTTCTACCAATAACTTGTTACTTGGGAACCCCAAACAGAATTTACAGTACAGTATTATTCTTAAATAATGAGACAACCATGTCGAGTGTAAAGTGTTAAATCTATGCAGGAATAGAAATCAATCAGCTTGGATCCCAGGAAGTTAAGGGTAACTCAAGATATTTACATCAACAGCCTTTCACTGCCTTTCACATAAAATACAAATTATAAAAAACTTAACACACACACAAGTGGGTTACAAAGCCTTACCTTTAGATCACGGTAAATAATATTTCTTTCGTGTAAATATCCAAGGGCAAGACAGATTTCAGCTCCATAAAACCTGGTACGTTCTTCAGTAAATGATCTCTCCTCAGTAAGATGGAAGAACAGTTCACCACCATTAACATACTCCATTACAAAGCAGAGATAATCGTTTGTTTGGAACGAGTACTTGAGGCACTGAAAATATCAAATCACATAATTAACTGTTATGTATAAATTCAATGAAAACTAAGTAAATTTTAAATAAACAGATCAACTATGACAAAAAAAATCAGTTTTGTGGAAATTGAAAAATTAACAAAAAATCTAGAAAACGGGAAAAAATGAGAAAATTCTGTTAAAGGTTTCTTTGGATTCCTTATCAGGAAATAAACAGGAAAATTTTCTGGAGATAACGCTTATCTTAGCCTGAGGCTTGACTCTCTGATGGCTGTAAACAGTGAAAAATGTACTTGCAGTGAGGAAGGGATGATCCACAGCCTTTAACACACAGTTCTCAGCGTACGTGTGTGCCAACTCTCGTCGCTCTATAATGACATCTTTCCGCAGGACCTTCATGGCGTAGATACGGTCGTTTTTCTGTAGTCACATATATTTTTTAAAAGAACCTAATATTCATTATCCCTCGTAGGAAATTTACAATAATTAACCCAAACTAATATACATGTTTCATATTCCCCAATTTGAAAATTATGGAAACTAGAAAAACTTTTTTTTTTTTTTTTAATATAGTTTTACCTTCTGACGACAAAGCATAACTTTTCCAAATGTTCCTCTTCCAAGTACTCTGATGAACTCAAAGTTATCTAATGTCTGTGAATAAAATGCAAAACATTTAGAATCCAAAAAAAATATGATTGTATAAGAATACGCATAGAATTATGAGGATGAGATAGGCAATTATAGCAATCAGAAAAATTGACTGCTAGAGAAAATTTATCAGTTACCAATGATTAATGTTTCCCAAAATAAAAAAAATTAAACTCTTCACGAGTCCTTAATGAACACTGTCCTCTAATTACCAGACAAAAGAACAATGACTAAATATCACCTGGATAACAAACTGATTCAATTGGAGTGAGATATTTAAGTCACCAAACGAAAAAAAAAAAAAAAAAAAAAAATTATGCCAACAGACTTAATAAAAAAGATGCGAATCAAAAACGCATGTAACGCCTTACTGTAGCCATATTTTGTAAACATATTAAAAATCAAAGAAATTATTCTAACTAAACCTAATAAAACTTCCGTCTATGACAACATTTTATCATCACTCGTCCAGATCAGATTTTCCTCAACATTAACCCTTAAACTGTCCAAACGTAGATCTACGTTTTTCAACATTTGAATGTAAAAAAAGTAGATCTTTTCTTTTTTTTTACATTTGAAAAATGTGTAAAAAAAACTTTGATCTACCTTTTTGGGTTTTATTTGAAAATATGTAAAAAAATCATAGATCTACTTTTGGAGCACTACGCATGTGAACGTAGATCTGCTTGGACAGTTTAAAGGGGTAATGAGCAACTCGTACATATATGTACTCTGATGTTGACTAATATTCGCTATTAATATTAACACGATTTTTACATGATGGTTGGAAACAGCTAAAATGTTCATTTGAATATATTGGTAAATAATTCACACCATTACAGGACTCTCTTGCTGTCTACACATAAAAAGCAATTGAAAATTCCACACTTATATGCAACACATCCGCAAAACGCGACTCCAGATCAGTGGGCATCTTATCTAACATTCGTTACTGTGTCTCGAACCACTATCACTCTGTGTCTCACTAGTGGTATTTGTGTCTGGATATCTACAAAGACAAAGTTAGATACACAAATAACCCACACATAGAAGAGAGGAGCTTACGACGACGTCTCGGTCCGACTTGGACCATTTACAAAGTCACATTATGTGTGTATCGTTCCAGTCACGGTATTGTGCCTTTTCTGTTATTTTAAGGCTAAGTTAGCACTACCTAAACAAAAATCTTCCGTTCGAAGATAAGATAAGATTTCGTTCGGATTTTTAACCCCGGAGGGTTTAGCCACCCAGGATACCCAAGAAAGTCAGTTCGTCATCGAGGACTGTCTAACTTATTTCCATTGGGGTCCTTAATCTTGTCCCCCAGGATGCGACCCACACCAGTCGACTTACACCCAGGTACCTATTTGCTGCTAGGTGAACAGGACAATAGGTGTAAGGAAACGTGTCGGAATTTCCACCCGCCGGGAATCGAACCCGGGCCCTCCGTGTGTGAAGCGGGAGCTTTAGCCACCAGACCACACGAATGATAGCCCACTTTTGAACAGGATAAATTTATTAAACATACCGATCATTCATTCCCAGTACTGTGCATATTATATGTACAGGATAATCAATACAAATATAAACCCAGCTCAGATACACTTAGAGAGTTACTGCAGTAGAACTCGTACGAAAAATACATGAAACAAGTTTTCTCCGATATTCCCAGTGTTGGACTCGGCCTGAGTATTATTATTATTGTTATTATAATAATTTCTACAAATACGTGTACAAGGTATGTAGGCCTAGCTGCCATAAATGACATACTACTGTACTACATACAATCCGCTTGTTATGTAGGAGTTATGTGACGAATGGTTTTGAAAACCGACAAGTTGAAGAATTGAGACACTTATGCAACACATGGGGAATCTTTATTGAAGAAACGTTTCGCCACACAGTGGCTTCATCAGTCCAATACAAAGTAGAAGTGGGTAGGAGAGTGGAAGTTTGAAGGTAATCAGTCCCTCAACCTGGAATCGATGTGTTCAGTCCATCACTCTTGTAGGAATTTGCAGCATAGGGCCAGAGAGGTGGCTTATATACTGCGGTGAGATGAGTTGAAGCAGAAGGCGGCGGGATCACAGTGGGACCTGCCACTAGTGTAAGTAGGTTGTCGTCCAATACTTTGTATTGGACTGATGAAGCCACTGTGTGGCGAAACGTTTCTTCAATAAAGATTCCCATGTGTTGCATAAGTGTCTCAATTCTTCAACTTGTCGGTTTTAAAACCATTCGTCACATCTGTCAGACACTGCAAAATCATGGGATCTTGGTACAAAGACTTCAACGCTTGCCCAACCTTTGGACGACGACCTACTTACACTATGGCAGGTCCCACTGTGATCCCGCCGCCTTCTGCTTCACCTCATCTCACCGCAGTATATAAGCCACCTCTCTGGCCCTGTGCTGCACTTCCTACAAGAGTGATGGACCCGAACACATCGATTCCAGGTTGAGGGACTGATTACCTCAAACTTCCACTCTCCTTACCCACTTCTACTTTGTATTGGACTGATGAAGCCACTGTGTGGCGAAACGTTTCTTCAATAAAGATTCCCATGTGTTGCATAAGTGTCTCAATTCTTCAATATGTAGAGATTTCGGGCAAATCAGGTCAGTTTTGTCCCAGGATGCGACTCACACCAGTCAACTAACACCCAGGTACCCATTTTACTGATGGAGAACATAGACAACCGGTGTAAGGAAACACGCCCAATGTTTGTACCCTCGCGGAATCGAACCCAGACCCTCACCGTGTAAAGCAAGAGTTTTAGCCACCAGGCCAATGCTAAAAAAAAAAAATCAGAAACCTATTATCTGAAGATTGCACACGTTCTCTGTCTCCAACCGCTTCAAAGCTATTGTAATAACAGCACCTCAATCGCTAGCGCACTCAGCTCTCACATTCAGGTCCGGGGTTCGAATCTCCTCCGGTACGGCTGGAAAACATTACGGACGTGTTTCAATAAGACACCTGCTGTCCTTGTCCCTGTTCACATATCAATTTAAAATGGGTACCTGTGTGTTAGTCGACTGGTGTGGGTCGCCTCCTGGGACAAAACTGAGTTAATTTGCCCGAAATGCTTTGCATAACAAGCGGCTTTCTATATAGTAGTATGTCATTGATGTCAGCTATGGTCTGTATACCTTGTACATGTACTTGTAGTAAATAAAGATATTATTATTATTATTATTATCATGATAGAAGTATATTATGTTGAACATTTCTTTGACTGGTTTATTTAGTTCTCGTCTAATATTCATCCTAATGTATATTATTATTATAATCAAAAAGAAGCGCTAAGCCACAAGGACTATACAGCGCTGCAGGGCAGGAAGGAAGCGAGGGCATCAGGTGGCAAAAGGGAGATGGATGAGTAACAGGTTACGGATAACAGCGGGGCAGTGGATGGTGAAAGGGTAAAGGGCAGCAAGAGACTGAACCAGAAAGGGCTGAGGGGAGTGCGAAAAGTATCATCAGAGTTTGTGGAGTAAATCAGTCGTTGTCAAGAAGTCAATGAGAGAGTCAGGATTAAAGGAGGGTCCATCAGCAAGAAGGGAAGGTAAAGAGAGAGTAGGAGAACGAAGACGACGTTGGAGGTAAATTCTGCGTGCTCGTTGATAGAGAGGGCAGTCTAACAGAATGTGGCTAATCGATACTGGAACTTGACACTGCTCACAGAGAGGAACAGGGTGCCTCTCCATGAGATACCCATGAGTAAGACGAGTGTGGCCAATGCGAAGGCGGGAGAGAGTGGTCTCCCAACCTCGGCACTGATGACAAGAAGACGGCCAGTAACCTATGCTCGGTTTAATAGAATGAAGTTTGTTACCGAGCAGAGTTGACCAACGTTGTTGCCAACGGGTGCGAAGGTGGGTAGCTATTGCAGAAAAATAGTCCAGAAATGGAACACCTCGATAGGAAATTGGTAGGTCATATACTGCTGACCGCGCAGCAGTGTCTGCCTGTTCATTGCCCTGTACGTCGACATGACCAGGGACCAACAAAAAACAATATCTTTATGTTTGGTAGAAATACGGCGTAGCCAAAGTTGGATACGGAGAACTAGGGGATGAGATGTATCAAATTTTCGTATAGCCTGTAGAGCACTAAGGGAGTCTGAGACTACTACAAATGATGACACAGGCATAGATGCGATACGAATAAGTGCTGCAAGAATGGCATACAGTTCAGCAGAAAAAAATGCTAGCTGAAGATAGTAAATGCCCTCGTACGACGCTGTCCGGAAACACTGCTGCGAATCCGACGCCGTCTGAAGACTTAGAGCCATCTGTGTACACAGCGGTGGCATGAGAATGGGAGTGGAAGTGATCAAGAAAAAGAGAGCGGGAAGCCACCGTAGGCAGTTGAGCTTTCGAGCAAGGGAGTGAGAAAGAACAGACCCGAACAGCTGGAACTTCCCAGGGGGGTAGGGAAAAGTGAGATGCTACATGAACATATAAAGGTGGTAACTGAAGGGAAGACAAGAGTGAAAGTAGGCGAAGAGAAAAGGGACGGAGCAAACAGGGGCGGCGAACGAATAAAGAATGTCTACTAATATCGGTGACCATTCTATAAATGGAAGGATTGTGTAGATCGTGAGAGCGTACATAGTAACGAAGGCAATGGGCATCACGGCGATCAGACAAGGATGGAACATTTGCTTCTGTATAGAGGCTCTCAACAGGGGAAGAGCGAAAAGCACCAAGGCACAAACGTAAGCCTTGGTGATGGATAGAGTTAAGGCTAGAGAGAGTAGCAGGAGAGGCCGCGGAATAAATCTGGTCACCATAATCGAGTTTCGATAAACGAGGGCTGATGGTAGCGAAGCAGAGTTCGACGATCAGCTCCCCAGGAAAGATGAGCAAGGGTTTTAAGAAGGTTTAGCCGGCTGTGACAAGTTGCCTTCAGAGAGGTAATGTGAGGTTTCCAGGTTAACCGACGGTCAAAGAGAAGGCCTAAAACCTGACTGTATCACGTTCGGGGATACGGGACCATAGAGATACAAAGGATGATCGGAGATAACAGAGCGTCTAGT